GAATAATAATCATCCTATTGTACATAAACACTGTATGTCACGAGATATGACTTTTTGGTAGAAAATAGAAAAAAATTGTCGATGAATAAAAAACCCTTCATGAAAATAAGTGCACGTCATATCCTGTTTTTGAATATGTATGAATATATATATATCTGTTCTTTAACTTGCATCCATGTGGTCCTTGCGTTTTGGCGGGAAAAGCATCACACCTGTAAACAAAATAAAGTTTAGAAAACTGTGTAAACTCGAAGAAGTTTGGATTTTTTAATGATTCATTTTCTAAAACAAATCATTAACAAAATCCAAAAATCTTCGAGCTCACATAGTTTTCTAAAATGTATTTCATTACCTTTTTTCTGGGAGAACAGCGTTTTTCCGTCTTGGCTGGAGAATCATTGTCGAGTTTTCGTATTCGCAGGGTACGTGGACGTTTTTTCTTTGGTGGTTCTGCTTCTTCTTCTTCTTGGCTTTCACCGACCGTCTCAGTTTCCGGTTCTACACCGCATCGTTCTGCCATTTCGGCATCTTCTTTGGTTTGTCGTTCTGCTTCATCTTGGGGATCTTTCGTTTCCGGATCGTATGCTTCATCGGGGCTGCCAGGATAGTCCGGATCCTCCATTTGATTCTGTGGGAAGAGGGGTGATGGCGGTGGTGATTGCTGTGAAGCAGTTACATCATTGTCGTCAGCATCGACAGCAGCAGTATCATCTTCTGTTATAAAATGAAAAATATTTAAAAAATTATCAAAAAATGTTTTTAAAAACAATTTTCTTTCTCTCTTTATCATCTACCTTGGTTTTCGCACATGCAGCATTCGAAATATCCCTTTTGTTTCGTGTGTGATGATATCATCTCGGCAATGTCATCATCTGTGAAAGATTTCGTGTAAGCTTCGTCATGATTAAAGATGTGGCTGGTGTGACAGGTTTGGCATTTCAAACCCACCGTCCCGAAGAAATTCTTCATCGGTAACAGTCGTCTGTGGTGTAAGGGGTCTTTCATCGGTCGTGCAATGTCGTGCATCATGAAGTTTGCCAGTTGATCGACATGTTTGTAGGTGATCCAAATGTTCTTTTCTTGAACGTCTAGGGTGAAATACTTTTCGTCCAGCAGTTCTATGATGCTGTATAGAGAATCTCTATCTGGGCGTATTTCATCAAACGCGAATTGAGATTCCCATAGCTTCTGATTCGTCATGAAGAGGCTTTGTTTGATGATCTTTGCTATCTTGTCATTTGTAACTTCTTCTTCTTTGTAAAATCTCTTCAGTAGGTTCTGAATGTATTGATATTGGCTGGTGCTGTACATATTTTTACCCATCTGGTTCTTTGTTTGTTCTACTCTTTCGGATAGACGGGTTGGGAAAAAGGTGCTCTGGTTTCCCAAGACGATCTCGTGTACAAGTGCTTTTTGCAAATTGCCTTGTTGAAACGCCGTCAGGTTATCCCACGAGGATTGGTTGAGTGTGGTTTTCACCAGTTTTAGAATCAACAAGGATTTTTTCTTCTCGGGATGGAATTTGATGACAGGTCTGTATTGGCATAGGAGTTTGCCTATGAATGTGTACGGCTCGTTCAATGCTGTGGAAGGGAATTCTTGGTATTCCAAAACGATATCGCTTTTCATGTCGTCAGCTGGGGCGAAATAGAACCAGCCGTCTTTTACCAGCTGCATAGATCCTGATTCCTTTTCCATGTGGTCTGTTTGGAGGAGGATGAATTTGTCTGGTCTGTTCTTTTGATTATTTCTGGCTCGTAGTCTCATGGCGAATTGCGATTCGTTTAGCGTTCTGGTGAAAGCAGCCACATTTGTGTTTGTGTGTTGCAAGGATTTGCAAGCATCTAGTCTTTGCTTGTAAGCGTCGGCCGTCAACCAAAAAGCCATGGTTGAAAAAAGAGATGTTTTTTTTGTTGTTAACTCAACACAACGTGAAAGAAAAATGCGAGAGAATAGTGAGTGGATGATGTACTTATATAAGTTCTAATTTACATTTAATTAAAAAATGTTCTTTTGTACTTTTTACCTGCTATTGATTGCAGCTGTGTCAACAACTCTTGAATGTTGTTGAGTCGCAGTAAATTATGTTTACCATCCGTTGCTAATTGTTTAGGGTGTAGTTTCATCAGTAGCCTTTTCATGGATTGAACCACAAAGTATTTAAAAATGCTGTTATCGTTTTCTAAAGCGATGGATACTGTTAAATCGCTGCAAGTTTTAAAAAAAGCTATGTAGTCTTCTAAATCGTATTTCAACGAATATTCGTTTGCCCTGGAGATGTAGGTTTCCAATTCCATCATGGTTGCAATGTTTATGTCGCCTTTTTCTATGTAAAATTGTTCGTTTTGAAAATAACAACGTGTTCCAAATAAAAAAATGTTTTCTTCACGTTCTGTTCCACTACGTAATTGTTCCATGAACTTTTCAATTTGAGGGTAAAATTGTACATCGATTTCAAAGGTATCCATAGTTCTTCTAAATTCTACTCACCGTCACTGTCGGAAGTACAATGGAAGCGTTTCAGCGCGTCCAATATGTACATATGTTTTCTCCATTCTTCTTCATTGTCCATGTGATTTTGACACTTGTCATGTTCCGCTTTCATATCATCGTAGACTTTATTCCAAACCCATCGTGACAATGTATGACGGTAATTACATTTTTCTCTTAATGCCTTAAACCATTTTAATACAGACTCTATCCCGTCTTTCATTTCTTGCACGGAATGAAAGTAATAAAAAGGTTTGATTGTGCTTAAACATTGTAGGTCGCCACATTTATTCATGTGATCCAACTGGACGAACAAGAAAGCACAATAATTTCCAATTGTTTCCGCTAATTGTCGCAAACAAGGTTCTTTTATCAAATCTTGTATTATGAAAGGTTCCAGATAGTCTAACATGTTCAGTGTTTCTAAAAGATCCCATTCCAGGAGGTTTGGAACAGCCAATTTGTTGCAAAAATTGCAATCATTAACACCTTTCATTTTTTTATATTCCACCATCACTAAATGTGGATCCTCTTTTCTCAATTCGTCTACCAACAACTTTCCTATCCAACTATCTTTCGGTAGATGTATCTCCATAGTTTTGTTTAAAAGAGGTTTTGGAATTTCGTTCAAATTTGTTATGGAAAGATACATTTTTGTTTTAGAAAAAACAAATAGCACTTACGCGTATTTTTTTTTTCCTTTTGCTGCTGACTTGCTACCCGCCCCACAGAGAAAAATGAGTACATTTTGGTCATGTTCAAAGGTTTTTATTCTCACACTTTAATTAGATGTACATAAATCATCATGCTTCTGCATCTATTATCTTTTCAAAAACTACTATAACTAGGAAAAAAAAACTGTTCAGTGTTCTGGAAAAAGAAAATGTTCATCCTCAGGAACGGGGTGTCATACGGCTCATGCTGGAAGTTTTCAAAATTTCCCGTCGTCGTCGTGGCTGCTGTTGATGGTCTTGAGGTTGGTTTCTCGCGTGGTATGTTATCTGGGCTTCTCTGTAACTCGATCTGATGCGGTTCGTTGTTTTTCGCTGCATCTCTTTCTTGGCTATTTTCATACGTTTGAAAGCGTTTTGAAAACCTTGTTGGGCTTTGCTAAAACGATCTTTCTGCATGTAGAGAACATTTTCACATTTTCCGTCCTTCACGTTCTTGGAACATTCCAGCATGAAGTCCCCAATGTATTCTTGGGGTTGGAAATCTTTTGGCACATTGCTCATCTTCATTACCTCGTTGTGTACGTTGCAACGTGCCAGTAGGTTGGGTGCTTTGAAGGTGGGATGGATGTCGTTTTCCATGTTGCAGAGTATAGTTCCTATATCTGCGTTGCAGATGAATTTCACTGCGCAGTTGTTGTTGCTGCAGGTTATCCCGTCGTCCCCAGTCTTTGTCTGAAAAACTATCAGATTGTGTTCGCAGATGGGGCAAGGGATGGGCTCATCTCCTTTGTCGAACTCATCATCATTTCCTCCAAATTCGTTCTCGCTTTCGGGACTGTTGGCTGGTTGATGAACGGTAACAGCAAATGCATCGTAGTCATCATCATCATCATCATCATCAACAACCTGTTGGCTGCCCGTTGGCATGTGCAGACTTTTTGGTTCCAGCATTCTCCTTCTTTTGGTTGGGGGAGTCTGATTTGGCTTTACTTCACTATCATCGTCTTCCTCAATGCGCGGGCGTCTCTTGTAACGTCCCACTGGTGGTTCTTGTTTCTTCAGCTGTCGTTCGGCTATGTCCAAAGCTGTCGGAGTAGATTTTATCTTTTTCGGCGTTTCGTCGGGCTCGATGAAATCTTGCAAATCTGCACCATCGTCTGCATCTTCATCGTACTGCTCGTTTGCTGCAGTCTCTGCTTTTTCGACCACGTTGCGCTTGATTGCTTCTATGGAGGTTTCGTCGTCGCTGTCTTGAACAAATTCTGCAGATTTGGGAGGAATCTTTCTTTTTCTCTTTCCTTTTTGTTTATTCGCAAGAGGTCTGTCTCTAGCTTCATCATCAAAGGTTTCATCCACTATTGCTTCATTGTCCATGTAAGATGCCATGGTCTTTTAGGTCTTGTTTTTTTTTCAGTTTCTTGTTATCACGTCAAAAAAATATGCGAGTGACAAAGAATGAATTTTTTATTGGTTAAATATATACTCTCCTTTTGGCGCCAAAAACACCACTGTATTTTCATGAATAATAAATGAGGTTATTTTTGAAATCATATCGTGCGTAAAAAAGTAATTGCCTGCCATGAAGTTTGTTTAAAGAAAATGTAAAAAGATGTCGTGCTTGAAAAGTAATTAATTGGCTGCCATGAAGTTTGTTTAAGAAAATTTTTTTAAATTTATTTGTTTACTTGATCTACGCCTTAAAGGTAAATAAAAGTTAATTAACAAATGCTTTGGTTGTGTAAACATTTTTTATGCCGCCTACTTAATTACGTTTTATTTTTGGCATCACACTTTGCGCCATTTTTTGGCGAACACCGGAAGTGGAATTAAATTATTTTTTCCCCTCCCTTTTCTCTTTCCTCTTCCGGTTTGAGGTGGCTGATAGACTGGACTATGTTCCCATCTCGGATGAAAAGAAACTTCACTTCCTTCACTTTCTGGCGGCGTGTATACCAGTGACTGTGGTATAACATTTTCATCTCCAGTTGACCCTTCTTCCGAGTCGCTCCCCCAGGTAGTGCCCCAACTTCCGTCAGATTCTTCATCGCTGTCGTGAGCGGTTGATGTATGAGTTGGATTCGATCCACTTGAAGAACCGGTTGAAGAAACAGAAGGGGCTGCCATCCCATAGCCATATCGTCTCAATTCGTTTTGATCGTTAATATATCTTCTAATATCGTCCAGTCCCATAGACTCAAAAGATCTTTCACTTAGTGCTCGCGAATGTACACTGTCATAACCAGTACTAAGACTTCTAGCAATGCTACCACTACTCGGTAGAGACTGATGTACAGGAATCGCTCTTCCCCCTTGTATTAGGGGCTTGGCAGCATCCACTATTCTCTGCATGCCTGGAAAGATATTGGCGGCATCTGTGATACTTATTCCCAGACCCAGAATCTCTTTTCCGTATTTTTTCGTTAAAGCTCGTATCTGTCGCACTATGTCCGATTGTTTCAGTTTTTCGGGATTGTTTTTTCCCTTTCGAAGGTTTTTGAAATAGACGTTTAGAGTTCTGAGACGATAGATTGCTTTTAATAAGTCGTCTTTTCCCAACCCTCTGTATTTCTTGTGAGCCGCCATTATGGGTGCGTTTTCGTCATCTTCCATGTCCACTCCCGTTATTCCTTGAGTGACTTTGCGAGATCCAACATTTGCATATTTGGTGTCGGCATGATTCATCCCTTTACCACTCTGTTGCATCTTGATAGAACTTTTCAAACGATCCAAATCGTTTCCGTCCAAGTAAACGTACTCCTTGATTTTGTTACTGTTGTACAGATCTATCTTGTCCAATCTTTCTTTATAACTCATCGTCGCTTGCGTCGTCCGGCAGATGAAGAGAAATGAGATACTTTGCCAATTCTCTCGCTTTTTGTTTACACTGTTTCAGCGCTTGTTTCTTCACTTCTAAGTTCGCCTGTTTGGTCGTCTGAGCCAAAAGTTCTATACACTTTTCTTTATCTATGGTCGTCTTCACCACTTTTAAAGTTTTGTAGTTGTAAAAGAGATCGCAGAGTCCTAATAGTGCATCTCCGTCCAAGAGCGTTCCATCGATGACAAATTGTCTAATTTGTTCGTAACTCTCGTAAAACCTATCTTTTTCCGCGTCTGTGGACATGTCTCAGATACATGCGTTCGAAATTGTTGACGGGTATTTTCGTGTGAACGTGTTCTCTCTGGGTGTGGGGTTCTTTCCAGTTTTCCATATAAATGTCGTCTGCATATCCCTTATATAGCCTCCTCAGTCGTGGATCCCTTATGGGTCTGTGAAACCTTTTCTGATTACGAGAAGTATCCGGTCCACTCTTTCGCACGAATTTTCGCGACATGGCGGGAGGAGGTGGTGTAATTCCCACCAACTCGCAAAACCGATATTTATACCCTTCGTTGGGAAATATGTTTGTGCGAATACATTGGTATTCTAATTCTTTTTTCTGTTTTGGGTGTTTGTCCACCACCACAAATCCTCCTTCTCTCGAAACCCACGGCATGTAGATGTGGTTCACGAAATCCATCATCCTGTCTGTGGGAACGAAACCACTGAATCGTAATTTCAAAGATCTTATTTCCATGGAAAATTTGAAAAATACCATCACGTTTATATTCTGTCTGATTTGTCTCGCTCTTTTTCCCAGAGGAAATAGGGATTGATACAATATGATGATGGAAACGTCCATGTGGTGGCTGTTCTTTTTCACACAATCCGCCATCATGGAACTTTTTTCTATGTCCGTTTCGAGATCGTCAAATATCATAATTGCAGGAGTGGGTCTGTCTTGTAACAGATCTTCTATCTTTTCCGGAAGACCCTTGTGCATCAATACTCCCATACTTTCCATTTCGTCGAATATGGGACTTTGCCAAGTCGAACCATAACAGTATATGATCGTCCTCATTTTTTTATCCACCAACAATGCCAAATTTTTTAACAAATTTAACACGAAATTGGTCTTTCCCGTGTTCGTGCTTCCATACAAGGCCATCGTGAAAGGTTGGACGAATTTTGCTCTTTCTGTCAGTGTGGAAAGAGACATGGTGATAGACCGGACAAACAATGAGACAGACAGAAAAGCAACTGGGTGTTTTACTTACAAACGAGTCTTTTTATTTCAATCTAACAACTGTAACACTCTTCTAGGCTTACTACCCTGTTGCCGAGATTTGATGTTTTTCTTAAAATTATCGTAATCTACGTTTAACTCGTGATCTGTATCATTCAAAATCCTAGGAAATTCCTTGTGAATCAAATCGAAGACTAGAACATCGTTTCCTTTCTTATCGTCTTCATCGAAATACTTTACCACTTCTTGTAAGTCGGGCGTGGGCATAGAACACAATTTTTTGAGAACGTAGACGCAATAATCTCCGCAAACGTCGCTCGTTTCTTGTTGAAAATCGCCGTTACTACGAATGTATCTCATGAAAGGAGCCCAATGCGAGTTCCAATGGGTGGGAGGCAGACCATAAGAATCGAAATAAAAATTCTTTTTTCCATCTCCTCCCGTAAAAACACACACCCAGTGTTGACCGCTCTTGCTTATGGGATCCGTATTGACGATACAACATCCTGTTTTACCTAGAGGTATCTGATCTGCTGCAAACACTCCTAAAAAATGTTTGGATATATGCTTATCTCTTTGTCCGACTTTTTCCAATTGCTGAGTAAAATGCATGTTTCTATCTTTCTTTTTTTTTTTAAAGCTGCTGTCCGTGCCTCGTCAGAGTGATGTAGTTGGGTTGGGTGAGAGGTAATTGCATCTCTTGTACAGTTCCCCAACCGTTGTGTGTTGCATCCATCATCGTCAGTTGATCTTTTGCCACATAGAAGATGCACAGGTAATGTTCGTCGTTACTGGCTTGAGTGAAGTGTAGATTGGCTCGGAAGGTCTTTTCTATCTTCTGAAGAGCGTTGGCCAAACCTGCTTCGAAATTGGCAGTCGTCTCGTAATACCACAGCCACATGGAACGGGGAAGAGCTTCTGGATCGAGATTGAAGATGTTGTCTCTTATATCGTTGTGATATCGAGCCACTGCATCGCACTGACTCTGATAAAACAACTCCCTCCTCTGTGTGTTATCTCCTCTCCACTCTATCCTGTCTCCTCGGACGATGTTCTTTTCGTCCACAAATACCTGCACATAATCGCAGTTGAAGGGCTGAAATTGAAACATGTCTGTTCCAAAAGCACCATCTATTAGACTTGCTCTGCTGATGATTCCTATGAAGCCTCTGTTGGGAATTCTGTAGTCCAGCGTGTGCCAGCGTTGAATGAGATTATCGCCCACAACTGGACGAAAAGGGGGACTCACCATCAGGTGAAACTTGTCCGTGCCAGTGAACGTCTGAGCGCCGTGATTTATCATGGCATCTTGAATGTCTGCATTTTCGTTTGGATCTGCTTTTTGCATGTACAATATTTCCAGATAACAGTTGGCACGATCCAACCGATAATGGCCTTGCTCTACCGTTCCCAACCCAGTATCGTCACCTTGTCTGGCAATAATCATTTGCTGATTTGAAGCAAATTCTATTTCTATTGTGCCATTAAAAAAACTTGTTGTTGCACTGTTTATCTGACAAAATTCTCCAGGAAGAGGAGAAAAATCCATGTGTATGGGATCTTCATCAAAACATCTCTTTTCCAACCTTCTCATGGCATCCAATCCTTTCTTGTCATTAGTGACTGCCCTGATCTGTGCATCTGTCAGAGTGACTCCCACTGCATTTTCCCAGTGAGAACCCACCAAATCTGGTTCGAAGAAATCATTTCTCCGTTTTGCCTTATTTTTCTTCTCGTACTTGTTGTAGAAAGCCAGGAAATTCAGCCACTCTTTACAATTCAAATGGTCACCGACTTGTTCTATGTCTTGAAGACCTCCCGGTTTCACTCGGATTTTCTTGATTGCCTTGTACTTCAATCCATTCACAAATCGGCCGTAATGATCTGCACCGTTGGCACGACCGTTAGCGTGAGGATCGTCAAATCTAGCACCTGCCCCATCTCTGTCTAGTATGAAAGCAGCGTGTAGACGGATGTGTTTGGCCGGTATTAGAAACGTGTCACCTCTCGATTTGACTTCAAATCGCAATATCTTGGCATTTTCGCCAGCAGCTAAAGGTTCTGGATTGATGCGAACGGGAAAATAATCTCCCCAAGTCTCATCTAGAGTTTTGGTTTCTTCGCCAGATTTGAAAAGTTTTTCTTCCACTACTTCTAAGTCTTCCTCCACGGCAGCAGCATGCACACGTTTTTCAGGCATGATAAAAAAAATAAAGTTGAGGTCTAATTATTTTGCTTCTTTCGTTTTCTATTCTTCTTCTTCTCTAATTTTGCCAGAGCGTCCGCCAATAACGTGTCCTGATTCTCTTCTTCCAGTTCTTCACTCTTTGATGCCTTGGATGGTTTTGATTTTGTTTTCTTTGCCGCCTCTTTTTTATCCTTTGTTTTCTCCGTAGAGACGCCTCTGTCACCCAACATGGACTTCATGACCGCTTTGAATTGGTCGTGTTGTTTTAATTCATCCTCCAATTCGCTCACCCTCTTGAGTGTATTGAAAGCTCTTTCCGCTGCAGCATTACGTTTTCGTTGGGCCTCTTCATCCGCTTGTAATAATTCTTCGCTTCTATTTTCCATCTCTTCGTCCACATTGATATTAAAAAGAGTTTTAAACATCTTCTCTTGTGCTTTGATGTTGGCATTGGCCTGGTTTATCCCATCCTCCAAATAACCGATGTAATCCGCAATATTTTCCATTTCGTCACCTTGTTCTTCTTCTTCTTCTTCTTCTGTCGATGATGAAGAAGAAGAAGGGTCGTATTCTTTTTCATCTTCATCGCTTAGAGAATTTTGTTTTTTTTTAGACTTGAAAAGTTTTGTTTTCATGGCTGTCAAACGCTTTTTCTGTCCCAAAAGCATTTTCTTCTTTGTCTGCAGTGTTTCTCTGTCCTTTTTCATGTTCGATTTCTTTCTGGCTGCCAAATCTCTTTTTTTGGTCTTCTTTAGTCTTTTCACCATTTTCACCATTTCATCGTCTGCTTCGTTTTCCGTCGTGTCGTCGACATGATCTTCTCTCTTGCGTTTTTTGTTACTGTTAGGTTTGTTCAAGTTTTTCACCAAATCGGTTTCTAATTTCTTTTTTTGTTGAATCTTGTCGTAATCTTTCTGAAGATAAGCAAAAGCCGACATGTTTTTTTTCCCGTTCTCCACAGAACAAGAGTATGTCTAAAATGATGCTTTTATCTCCGACGTCTAATCTTTTTATGCACTCTTCTTGCCAATTGTTTTTCCACATTTTTAGACAATACTTTTCTCAAAAACGCCGAATTTCTCTTCATTCCACCAAATTGTTTTTTTACTGCCTTGAAGATAGCCAGGTCCGTCTTGGGATCAAATCTCCTTTTACCTCTTCCCATGATAGTGTTCGACAACGAAATGACACGGTTTTACATTTTCAATACATTTTATTGGTTATACAATATAAAAAAAAGAGACAAAAATAAGATTAAAATATCTCGTCTAAAAAAAAGTGGGTGAAAAATTGTAGATGTTAATATGGCCAATCCGACATTCCTTCCTCTCTGTCCCACTTTTACGACCCTAAACTGTTCTTTTTTCTTTCTTTCTTTCTTTTTTTTTTCATCTTCAAAAAAGATTAAAATATCTTGTCTAACAGAGAGGGTAAAATTGCCGATGCTAACATGGCCAGTCCGGCACCTCCTCCTTTCTGTCCTCTTCTTCTTTTTCTTTTTCGCCTTCCAGCACCCGACATTTTCTTTTGCAGCATGGATGCAAATCGACCTCCCAAATTAGCTTGCTTCGCAATGTTCTCGATGAGACTCAACCCTTTTGCTCGTTTTGGAAATCTTTTTTTTCCATAAGCAAAAGCTTTTGACACGGCCGCGTCAATTCCCTTGCTGATTAGAGGAGTCACTGAAGGTGCCAGCGATTTGGCCAGACCTCTGAAATCGATCTTTCCACCACTCTGCAAACGTTTCAATCCGTTGCGGCGTCCGGCTCCCGACATTTTCTTTTTCAGCAAGTTGCCCACTCTGTCGCCCACGGCCGCTTTGGCCAAAAGATTTTCCGCCATGGCCAGTTTGTCTGCATGTTTCGGAAACTTCTTCTTTCCAAACGTCAACGCCTTAGACAGTCCGTAATCTATCCCTTTGCTCACTAGCGGTACGACGGACGGTCCCAATTTAGAAGCTATAGGACCCACGATTTTCTTCAACTTTCCAAACGACAATTTTCCTCCTCTCTGATATCGTCCCCTTTTTCTGTATGGCAACATCTGCTTGTAAAACCGCATAGGATCCGAAACGTGATAGTATCTCTTTCGCACCATCTTTGAAATGAACAACTACTCTTAACTCCCACTGTATTTTATGTTCTACAGTCACGTAAAGTCTATACGCATCAAAAGTCCCAAATGGTTCTTGGATTTCTCACGATGCCTCCGACTTGATCGTGTAAACGTTTCCAAAACATAATCCTATCATGCAAACCTCTTCCACTTTGCCGCCCACCGACAAATTTGCTAACTCGAGTACCACATCTATGACAATTTCCCGTCATTCTCTTTCTACCATTTCTAGTTGTGATTACCCTAACATTTCGAGTAGACGACCGACGTTTGCATCGAAGACAATAAGCAGAAGCCATTTTCAATCAAAACCCAATAGCTTTTGCACCAGTGCTAAACAGGTTTCCAATAGCTTTTCCACCATTTACAATTAAGTCTAAAAGAAAACCACCTTTCTGACCGCGACCTCTCTGCCCTCTGGCGTTGCCGTAAATCTCTTTCATGTACGCCGTACCTCTCTTGTTTTTATAGTAATCCAACATCATCTTCGTCGCCTCTCGAATCATTGCAGCTTTTACGCCGGGCCGAGGCATTCCTGCATTTTTACCGTGCATGTACCAACCCGTGGTGTGCGTGTGTAAAAGTGTGGGATCCTTTCGGCGAAGAGTCCCAAAACGTTGCATGACTTTGTAGAGATGAGTATCTTGTCTTGATCTGGTTCGCTTGTTGTTCGGACGGATGCTGTTGAGAAAAGCAGTCAAACCGGCTCTATCTTTAGGCAATGTCTTACCAGATTTGGCTCTTTTGAGTCTAAAGTTAAATTCATGAGGTTCCGGATTCGGCATGTTCAGATATCGCAAATCTATTGCTCTTGGACCAGTTTTCTTTGTTTTCGTTTTTCTCTGTTTTTTAGGCAGAATGCGTTGAGGAAAAGCAGCTTTCGATTTCGTAGGACTTTCCAACAACTGGTCCAATTCTTCGGCTTCTTTTTTCAAATTAACTGCTGTGGGGTCGACACCCATTCGTTCCAACATAACTTGGTTAGAAAGCTTTTTTTTCTTCTGTCGAGACCAATTGTTACCTCTCTTTCGTTTTCTCGCACCACCTTCTTGATAGACCTCGCCACCGGCCGTGTAATGCCCCGATCCTCCTTCTTGATAGGGTTGGTTACCGGCCGTATAGTGCGAACCACCTTTTTGAGCATAATAAAACCTACTTTTCATAGTAGTCAAACGACCCATTTTTTTTTTTCAATTTAGATGTCTTCTTCTCAATTTCAATTCAACTGTTGCTTTGACACCTGTTAACAATGCACCGCTCGACGATGCCAATCGCACATATATATGATGGAATCGGGGTTGATACAATCGGTGATATAGCAATTTCATAGGTACGTGATGCAAGATGGACGCGTAAGGATCCATGGGTATCACCGCAATGTTTTGTGTTTTTTGACTTCCCACAAAATTGAACTCTCCCATGTTGGAATCTACAAATATCGTCTGAAAGGAGTACTTGGAAATATCTGCCCACACGGACTCCTGCAGAGATTTTGGAAATTGTACAATGTTTTGTGACTGTTTCGAATTTGTACCATCTAATTCGACATTTCCGTTAGATCGATTTATAATGGTCGTTTGAGAATTTAATAAACGAAAGAAATCTGAAATTTTTCCTTTTTTGTCCAACATTCCCAACGATTTTGCTATTCTTTTCGATATCATCAGTGTTCCAAACTTTAAGTCCAACTGTAGAATATTGTCACTGCTCTTGGAAAAGAAAACAAACTTGTTCTTAGAATGTGCATTTATATGGGTTATCAAGTCTTGCACCGTGGCTATCTTTGCTTTTAAGTAAACAGCTTTTTCCAAATTTCCCAAAGTATCTTTGAATTGAAAATAAGCTTGATCTTCTCGCACATTTTCCACCGTATTTACTTGCAATCCCAAAGAAGCGAGTGCCACTTCGTAATTAAACGAATATTTGGCATGTCGAGATTTGAAATCTAAGACCAATTTCCCTTCTTCATTGGTGGTTCCATCGAACACGAGAGAGAGCGGAGTCACAGTCGACGGATCGTACGAACTACCATCATTCATCGTCGGGTCTCCAATCTGCGTCGTCTTTCACCATGTACAAACAGAGAAATGTTGCTCCTCTCCAAAACGGAACGGTCTGACCCGTGTTCACGTCTGTAATTTTTACGACGATGGAATCGGCCGTGAATGGTAACAATTCTTTTTTTTCTCTGTCTCTGTAACTTTCCACAAACACCAGAGGATTTTGAACTGTTCTCGTCAAGGGAACGTTCTTTAAAAACATGTGTTGTTCTTCGCCACGCCTGGATGCATCGTGGTACTTACAGAACATGTTGAGAAGTTCAATGTTCACGTGCGTGGGGCGTAATTCACGCATCGCGTCCCCCAGTTCGAATATGTCTTGTAACATGGTGCGACGGTCATAATCGATCGATCTGGGCAAAACAAGCTGAAAATCTTCATAACGTCGTGATTTTACAATCACATCCACATCCGATTGAACGCGTAAGACGTCTGTCGCTTCGAAGACACGACTTCTCCACAAAACTGTAGACGAAGCGAAAAGTTGATTTTTCCACGTTGCAGACTTTAACGTGAAAAAAAATGTGTTTCGCCATCCGGATTGTTGGTAATAAAATGTAAAAATTTTCTTGGCAGGATCTCTTTGTTGCTGTTGCAAATAACCCGTCCAACGAATCCCCGGCCCAGACGAACCAATATAGTTGGATGCAAAACTTCGTAACAGTATTTTCAATTTGTCAGATACTGCGAAAAAAAATTGATCAAACTTTGCCCCATATGTGGACGCGAAAAAGGTGACCATCCTGAAAGGAGAACTATCATCAGCCGTAGCAATGTCTCCTCTATATGGTAAAACAGTACTGTTACTAAATACGTCTTTCCACACGCTGTCTGACAAACCAGCTTTTTCACCAGCCAACTCATGGACAACATATTTATCTCTAAAAATGTTATGACCGGTTTTTTTCAAATCGTATCTTCTCAGATATTTTTTACCGTCTTTTCCGACGAAAAAAACCTTATCATTGTAAGCCTTAACAATTTTTTGCCAGAGTGTGCAATAATCTTCATCCCCATGCAATTTCAGCATTATCGATCCTCGATTAAAACACCATTGCTTATCGTTGAAACCGAAGAAAACTCCAAATTTGTATTGATCCTCTTTATGCAACTTTAAAGGATCGACAAACGATCTATTTCTCAAGAGAGTATCCACCTCTTGAACAATCTCGAACGAATTGGTATAGTGCCCTCCTGGTAAATCGATGCTTCTTTCAAATCCACCATTGGGATCTTCCAATTTGACGTAAAGTCGGTCATCCTGTTCGTTATTCAAGATGACTTTGTCCACACAGAGTTTCCACTTGTTTTCCGTCAAATTCAGAACACGTTCCAATCGGGCTTCGAAAAAACTTCGAACACTATCGATCTTTGATTTTCTCTGTACTCTTTGATCGTTCGATAAGATCCATATTCTCAAATCGTCATCTAGGATGTCTCTATCGATGTCTTGCAAACTCATTTTTGTTCAGCCACAGAAAATGTTTTTTAGGATGATCCAAGAAACTGACAAACACGTTTCCCTTCTTGTCCCTCTTCCAAACTTTTTCTACCGTCTTCCGCATAGGTAACACCACTTTGTACAGTTGTTGTTCGTAAAACACGCCTTTTAAAGACTCTCCTGTAAGATCTTTCAAACGGTAAAGATTGACGGGCACATTATACCATCTTCTGCGGCGCTCCCTCACTACAAACACTTCTTCGGAAAACGTACCTCTGTAAGCTTTGTGGAAAGGCGTCTTTTGTCTCGTTATGCGAACATGATCTCCTATCTTGAATCGAAAACCACTTTTTCTTCCCAAATTCATGTTTTTTCTATGTTGATTTTGGAGAGGAAGTAATTTTCCAGACACGACAGGCGTGATGTCTTTCGGAGCTATGCCGGTGGCAGAATGTTTCAAGGCATTATGATCTTTTATGACCCTTTCCAAGATAATAGCTAGAGACTCTCTCACACCTTTGGATTTGTTGTACATGATTATCCTGTACAATTTCGTTTGAAGAGAACGATTGAATCTCTCCACCATGGCAGCTTTCATTTCTGAATCCGTCTTGTAATGATGGATTCTGTTTTCCCGACAAAAAGTACTGAAAAGAGAATTAAAAAATTCTTTTCCCTCGTCCGTGTGTACTTTGTGGGGTTTGACTCCGACATTATCCAAGATTTTTTTAAAACCACGCAAAACGGCAGAAGCACTCTTGTTTGCGAGCAATACAGCATCCGCTTGTCTAGAAAAAACGTCTATTTTGCTCAAAATGAACTTGTTGTACCTGCTATTGGGATGGGCATGTAAATCCACCAGGTCCAATTGCCATATGTGATTGAGACCGTTTGCAAATGTTCTCAATCTCGGAAACCTATCGATGCCATTGCGGATGATTTGATTGGGACGAACATGTGTTCTTTCAAACCTTCTAACGTAGCGTAAGGAAATGTCAAAAATTCCCAGTACATGGCGAAGATATTCGTAAACTTTGGTTGCGGACGTAAAAGCTACTGGACTGTCTTTGGATAGAAACAAATGCTTCAATAATTCTTGTCGCTTTTTTGCATCCCCCATGACAAAACACCACAAACAAAATGACGCATTTTACGAGTGAAAATCCTCTTTTATTTTGTCAACACACAAAACAATTCTAAACTAATTATTTCAAAAAAAATGACAAAAAAAAAAATCTATGTGTGAAATCAAACAACAAGAAAGGAAACAACTCCTTTGTAGCATCAGCTTTACTGGGCTTCATCTTTCTCTTTCTTGCCCTTGAATAATTTCTTCCACGACTTCACTGGCCGTTTAACTTGAGTGAACATCACAGCATCGGAAGATTGTACTACTGGAACTGTATCACCATTCTTGATACTAGTTTCGCCACACACATCAGCTTGAGAAGGACTCACAGGATAATCAACACCATCCCACTCCATGTCTGGTTCATCTACTTTTTCAACACTTTTCTGCCTCTCTAACTCTTTCTTCACTCTCTCTTCCGAAGGTAAAACTAGCTGAACTACTCCAGTGACTGTCTTATTGGTAGAAGAACAACCATCCCAATCTCCCTCAGTATCACTCTTGCCACCGCCATCATCATCATCATCATCATCATCATCATTACCATTTGGAACCAACTCTGATTCTGACAATATTTCTTCCACTATGGAAGAAATGATATCTGAAGCATTTTCTTCAAACCTTTGAACAAGTGAAGTCAGAATTTCCATACCAGAATGGAAGATTTCAAACTTCTTTTCCAAATCCTGTATATCTTCCTCCACAAAAGCCCACTGCTTCACTTTCCTATCCACATGTTCTCGGAGAACACTCATCTCTTTGGTAAATGTAGTTTCCATATCAGCCTGGCAACGAGTTTTTCTTTCAAGTTTCTTTACCCTGGTCTCTAATTCCAACATTTCTTTTTCAATTTTCTTTCTGAATTCCATGTTGGCAAAAACTTCATCAAACAACGGTCGTGCCCTTACGTCGAAAGGACGATCTTCCTTTTTTTGTTTCTTCGGAAAACTCGCCATCTTTTTCTTCAACCGCACTGCAGATAGGTTTACAAGATGATGATGGTTCCGCTCTTGCGACAACCGTTTTAAAATATTCATCACTATCCCCAGGGCCCCTATTGTCTGCATGGCAACAGACTATATTGCAAGTCACATTTGCATTGGTAGCGATGTAACTACCATCTTCTTCATCCGAAGTCATTTCTTTAACGCAAGGAACACATCGACGAAAAAACTTCAAAACTGAACTACGAGCGGCAGCAGCAGCAGCAGCAGCAGCAACAGCCATTGATTACAAACAACGACGATGGTCAAGCGGACGAAAAATACAATTTGTTTCACACACGACTCAAAGACCAAACGACTGATTCTTTTAACCGTCATTATTTTATTGTTTTGAAAATTTTTATTTACAAAGAGTACATGAATAAAATTATGACAGAATAATAAATGAGTCACACTTCAGTAACCAAAAGGATAAGTCACGAAATCTTCGGAATCGAAATCTATTCTACGCTTATCAAAGACTAGACGATATTTCTTTTCCAACACTTCACTTGCAACATCAAACATACCATTTTTGAGACCTCGCTTGATGTTGAACTTTTCCACAGTGACAGAATTAGGCGTTAATTCTTTTTTTTCAAAACTCTCTAATACAAATTGTTTAAGTTTATCAAAATTTACAATTTCTTCCGTCTTCTTATTCAAAGTGATACCTCTCACTTTGAAATAAGCTTTATGCTTTGAAACATCATCTTCTTCTCCTTTCTTACAATATTTCAAACCGTAATTTTTAGGCCCCCCAGCAACAAATTCAATACCGACATGTTCTTTGGAGGGCATAACGGGGGTTAACTGTCCCAAATAATCTCCTAAAGGAAGTGTTGCATCACCTTCAGACAAACGATAAAATACACTGTCCGTATCCGCATAGAGCACCCGCATGTCCACCGCTCGCATGATATCGAGCAATTCCAAACGCGCATACGCAGTGACAAAACAAGAAACAACAACATTACCCTTTTTATCGGGAAAAACACTCTCCTCATTTTGTTTTCCTTTGACTATGACGGTGGTGTCGTTTATGAGTTTGAAAGATTTGTCGTGAAGAGTATCGTCGGAACAGAAAGCAAAAAATTGATCTGCATCATGATAAATGCTAGTTTTGGGTTTGTCCAAACGTCTACAAAAAAAACCCCACAGGCTATTCAAAAGAATTTTGGCACAAAATCGTTTGCCAGGATTGTTTTCGATCTTATCGGGATCCAATTCCACTCCCTCGTGTTGTGCAAATTCTCTCAAAAACCGTTCTTTCTGCTCTATCGAATCACACCCTTCGGGCCAACCGCTGCACTCGGTTTTAATCTTATAAAAGGCATTCACAAATTCGGTAAAAATACTAGGCGAAACACTGACATAGTGCCACACTTCGTAAATCTCGACGAGTCGATAACCGTCACGCACGGCTCGATACACTTCCACACTACACCACGCACCTTCCAGTGCCCTTTCCTCATCCGAATGATGGCAATCTTCTTGTTGTAACGTTTTGGCACACGTCGAACACAAACAAAACATCAATTTCGTACTACCATTGCGAAGAGGACACCTGAAGGGTAGTGTGGGAATGAAAAGTCCTCTGGGAGGAATCAATTTACAATACATCAAACCGAAATACTTATCCAGATCGTAACAAAATTTATCGGGAGAACCTCGAATGACGCTGGGATGAGCGCAAGGAAACAACTTATTCTTCATGACATGCGGATAAAGACTGGTGACATCTGCAGCTTGAATATATTCATCCGAATCATCTCCACCCGCATACATGGCAAAAGCTTCCGTTCGGCCACCGTACAAAGCATCCCTCGGATTCATGAACGGTTTATTAAAAGCTAACTCTTCACGAATTTCTCCCAGTTGGCGACGTACTTCTTGATCGCTATTTTTGAGCGCTTTCCAATCGCACTCCCAAATGACAACACATTCAAAACCTTCAGATTGTAAATCAGCTAATCGAGCTGATGTCTCGAGTTGCATAACACGAGCAGTCTTGCCTGTAAACACAGACACATAGTCGTTATCGAAACAACGAGGACATCCATGAAAAGCACAACCGAAAAATTCTAGAACTGACTTGGAAGGTTCGTGATACCCATCCACCCTATATTTCTTCCTACCCACCCTGATCACCTTCTCTCCTGCCTCTTTTCCGCTGTAACGCAATTCTCCGGCATAATAAAACACATCATTCCAAACCAACCATTCTTTTCCGACTTTAGACTGAATGTGGTTTTTGAAATACTTACCTTTTGGAATCAAACCGATCGTATTAGGTTTCAACATTGTCCTAAAGACCATGTTAGTAAAACTGGCTCCGGTACAGTTGCCTATGCCTATCCACAACTTGCTGAGGTCGTACATCTCTTTCGCCATGGTCAACCAACATCGCCTTAAGACCCTGACGTCATCCACACAATACTTGACAAGCTCTTCTTGCAAGTCCCAGTGCGTAATTCGACCTGCACGATATTCGACCCACCACTCCTCGTACCAATCCTCGAACTCTTTTAGTTCTTTACTTTTCATGAATCTCGTACCGAAAAACTCTTTATCGGGAATAACGCCTCTATAATGTTGGTTATGTTTCGTATTAAAATCGTGCGGAAATTTTCCTTTGCAGACGTCCGTGATTCCGAACATGGCAGGTAACTTGGCAAGAGGTGCCATGAAATATCGAAACGAATCGATAATTTGGACCTTACCGAATTGTATCTTCAAAGGAGACTTACCGTCGAACAACACTTTGGGGTCATCGGTCGCGATGTTATCGCAAAATGCCTTCAAAACATAAAAACAATCAAAACGAGCTCCATTATGAAATAACACGGTGTAATTCTTGTCGTGCGATACAAGGGAATCGGGACCACAAAACAAATACTCTGCAAACTTTTGCAGACTATCTCGCCCAGAAAAAACGAATTCTTGCCCTCCCTCGGTAATGACAACTACCAAATTGCACGTGAGAACACTCTCCCCATCCCGCTCTTCCTTCATGGTTTCTATATCGGCAAAAATGTACTCACCTCGCTTCTTGTCGTGTTGTTTCTTAAATTTTTCATCATCGGGACGAATCGGTTGCACGTAACATTGATGATCCAACATGTCGACCCGCCGATTGCAACAAAAGCATTTGCCGGTGAAACAAACGTGTCTGCGGCCGGTATATGCCTCTATATCGCGCGCGACGCCGTTTTTAGCTTTCAGATCGAGATCGCAAGTGGTACATGCAACAACGGCTTGACATACAGAGGTCTTGGGATACATACGCGACAAACCGCGAATGGTGTGATTTTGTAAACACCGAGGCGAAAAAACAACCGTCTACACGCATCACACCGATACGTCCGACAGGCAGTAGCAACACTTTCTCTGAGCCACACACTCTGTCTTACAAGCAAGACAGAGACCGTTGTCGCACTTGTGCCCCTTCCCCTTCTTTCCCTGAAAAAATTTTTCACAGATAGGACAAAATGAACCATGTTTGCCCATGAGAGAATTCAAAGACTTGATGAAATAATAATGTCCATCGTCCAAAAATAAATAGATTGTAAATTCGGTTATGTCCAAAGGGGAATCTTTATACGTAAAAACTACACTATTATAATGTTGTTTACTAACCACAAAAACAGAATGATCTCTAAAAAAAACTTTACAGATTTTCTCCAAATCTTTCAATTCCAATCCTTGTCGAGAAGGAGTTATCCCACATCTTCTGCACATTCTTCTAGCCTGTTCTATCATTTCTCTCTCCCTTGCGAGAGTTGTTCGTCTGCGCATTCTTCCACCATGTCGAAGATATTCGTCGGCAAAAATCAAGCAAACGACGGCACAATAAGGATGACAACCCGCTGGTGGACAGTACAGAGCCCGCGTATTTTTCAAAATGTCGTGTGTCTTTTGACCAAACGAATGCAACAAATGGCGAGACTCGTATCCTCCACCCCTGGGCATGTTCACCAAGACAACTTCCACGGTAAAGCTCTCGTCGTCGAGGCCGAGACCCTCGTTGGACTGGGACACTTTTTCAACTTCCATGAACAAAGTGTCCATGTTCAAATCTTCCACGCGGTGAAGTGGAACGGATACACCGTCGTTAGAAAATTCATTGGAATTTACAAACAACTCTACCATATCGTGACGATGATGATTGGTGCGTACAAAATGTTCTATATCTTCTAGCATTTCGCTAAACCCATCCAAAAAATCCATCCCTCGAGTATTGTCGCCGGGAACAAAACGATACGCGTGATGTGTGACACCAAAATAATCATTTTGTCCTTGAAGAACGCGTCTAATTTCGATGTTGTTATACGAACCCTCTGCTTCTCTTGCATTTCTACGCATTTGGGCATACACATCATCATCATCGCTGGACAAACGGTCATCGGCACCGCCATATTGATTTTCACTTTCCCCATCGGATGAAACTGCAAAACCTTCATCCACATCTCCTTCATCAGACAAATCATCGAACTCGGAACTAAGGCTGCTACAATGCGACTCTGCATCTTCCAACAAAATATCCTCGTCAAGTGGAAACGATGAACCATCTAATTCGACAAGATAATTTTCCAAATCTCTTTCAAACTCATCCATTTGAAAATTAAAACACGAAATATATGTACATAATATTACCAGACAAAAAAAAATCATTGATATTTTCCCGCTCTTTTTTTATTGACACAGATTTCAAAATCACAAACATGACAGCATCAAAACCTATTCTCCTTCTCTGGAAAGATTGGGGTGTACAAAACGCCATCTGCAACTGTATACAGCAATATAGTGAACAACCGAGTGAAGACATTGAAAAACATCAATACTTTTGCATATACAGAAACCTCTTTGGAAAGATGTGTGACGGCAAGAATCCCACGAGTCTTCAATCCATGAAGACCCAACTTGAACAGTACCAAACTACCAAATTCAAGAACGAAAGGAACGTACAAGCCCTATTAACAAGAACCATCAACGAGCTTGACTACTTCTTTAGAGATTTCATCAATCCCGATGCGGACCTAACAAAATCTTCATTTATCCGCACGTTAAGAAGCGCGAACCTTCCTCCAAGATACAAGAAGACCCTCAGATACCCAAAAGAAAAAATCTTAAAAGACCTGGTGGAAAAAATTAAATCCATCACACAGATTTATCATCATTTTGTCGACTTGAATAACTCATTGACAGAAAAAAGAAAAAGAAATGAAAATGAGAAGAATTGGATGATCTATCACGCAACAACAGACATTTCAGAATCCATTCAACAGGACTTCCGCGAATTTTAATAAAGCAAACATGTGTTCAAACAGGACTCTCGTGTAAAGCAAACATGTCTTCATTTCCGCTTTTTCATTATAATAGATTTAATTTCACCCTCTTAGACGGGGGTGGGTTTGTGTGGTAGAGTGGTCAGAGGTTCTGTAAACTTGATTTCAATGACAATAAACAGAGACTTAAAACCTAACCACTTGTTTCTCTTGATTCCTTTCAGCTTATATTTCGAGTGTAAACTTGTTATTAACAACGACGAGGAAGCAGAGTGAAAAAAAATAGAAATGTACCACTTCCTAAAATGTAAGTTAAAAAAACTCTACCACTCAATATCCCCAAACCCCCATTTTTTCTTTCTTCCAATAAAAACAAAAAACTCTTTCAACTTTCAGTTATCTTTTTATTACAAAAAACCAAAATTGAAATCATTACAAAAATCATTTCTCTTGCTATCTTCATGCTTGACTAACAATCTTCTTTTTCCCACGGAATATCTCTGATCTCTGAGTATTTCACATCATCGGCAACATCAGGCATCAAAGGAAGCTTATTTTTCTAAAAAATAATAAACATTACTAATTTTTAATTAAAAATACTATAAAACGGTGAGCTAAAAGTTAAATAAACAAACACAAAATTACAATAACTTCGAATAGAAATAAACTCGCCAGTGTACACAAAACGCAAAACAAAAAGTACATGCCTGCACGCAACACAAAAACTCAATAAGTAATACATCAACATTACAATAAAAAATATCAAACACATGAAAGGTGAAAAAAAACTTTTTTAATTTATACGTAATTAACAAACTCACCAAACCAATGACCATGCTCGTCAAAACAATTATGGGGAGTCAAACAACCACACTGCTCCGCAACAGATTTCCACAACATGTAAGCATCTACGGCCTGACACCATGCTTCACCATGCCTAGACTCAAAATCTTCCGAAGGATTAAAACCCTCCGGAACACCAAACTGTTCCATGTACCTCTTTTGTACTTTTTGCAGATGCTTTATCTCCCCTTCACAAGGATATATACGCGAGGAAAGCATCGCATACGGATGCTTTGCCCAAAGAGTGTTTTCATCGAGACAAGGATTGTCCGGACAAACTTCTCTGCACACCGATTGACATTGCACTTTTTTAATTTTACAACATTCAAACTTCCTTCCACCGAACAAACCAAATCCACCACCAACCTCCCTATTTTGTAAAAAATTCAACAAATTACCACAATTCCTTCTCTTAACAGCCAAAACCATCCTACAATTTTTTGAAAAAACATTTTCATCAAACACACGAGGCTGCAACGTAACACTATACCATCTCTTAAAACATTTGCCACATACACCTACTTTACCATATCTCCTATTAAAGAACCTATCAAAAACCAATCTCCGGACCCTTCCAAGTTTATCGTCATTCCCCGGGCTACAAAAATCACAAGGACAATTCGAATTTTGACCTGACCCGACCTGCACCTCTTTCAACCATTCATCCGTATCGACTTCGAAAACGGTCACCAACACATCATCCTCGAACCTACGTGCCATCTTTACACAGCAACAAAGAAAAAAAACTTTTTCAAAACATTCGCAGCACAAGACATTTAAAAAATATGTGTACATTAGTTAGCTTGGAATTCGTGCAAACAACCTTTGATGTTCCCTTACAAAACCCTCTCAAAACATTCACAACACAAGACATTTTGAAAAAATTTTTATGTACGTAAGTTACCTTGGAATTCGCAAACAACCTGTCATGTTCCCTGACGTATCTTTTCACCTCGGCCGCAGCAACAAATGACTCGTATGTCTGCACAAAATCGTGGAATGCACAAATCAAAGGCATCGTCTCTTTGGCTTCTTTTATCGTATCCGTGCTAATGCGATACGACAGTCCACATTTCATAAACTGTTTGTATTCGGCTATATTAAACCTTGGAGAGTCCATCGTCTTTCTCATGACAAACAAATCTGAATTAACGTAACATTGCAATACATCGGGGTGTACAATCCAATGATTTAACTCGCACAAATCTCTACATTCTATCCACACATGATGGCCATAATAGTTCAATACCTTCTCTTCCAAATTTTTATCTAAACCAGAAAATTTTCTATCCAACTTCAAAATAAACCTTCGAATATTTAGATGCGATAAATCATTCTCATCAACAAATCGACAATGCACACTGGCTTGACCATTGTCTCCCATGATTACACAACTCGAAAAATTACCTAGCTTTCTGTAATGAAATATCCTGTAAGCAACACACCAAATTATAAAGCAAACACCATCAGCATAACAAAGACATATCGCGTAACACAACAAACAAACTAAAAGTTTTCCCGCGCCGATTTACACCACACGCCCATTTACACCACATGGTAAAAGATGACTGCACAAACCATGACGACGAAATACTACGAAATATGTCTCATTTACGAAATTCGATGGGAATGTGAAGAGGAAAAATATTTCCACGAAAACTGCAATAAAGACTTCCCGTTGATGAAAAACCTGTCGGACTGGTTGTGCGACTTAGCATCGACCAACATAGATGGTGACGGTATAGCAACAGTGGAGCGCGAATGGCATATACTCCACAGAACACCCGGTCATATCTTCGTATTTCTGAGCCTCTTTTCCGAAGATTTGTCAAAGAGGATACAATACCCTTTCAAGGAGCCGGAGAACTGGGAAAACAGGCCGTTGCCACTTGCAAACTGGAAGGAAACATGGATACCTATGTACGACGAACTGATTATAAAAAAACAAGAACTGGAGGCGCAAGGATTGTACTCAAAGACACGTGTAAAGACACGTTAACTCTCGCAAAAAAAAAAACTGTTTTTAACATTGTAAAACACAATCATACAAGCTAAGATTCGATTGATTTGTAACTTTATTTACATTAAACATTAGTTATAAAGAGACAAGAACTGGAGGCGCAAGGATTGTGCTCAAAGACACGTGTAAAGACTTATTAACTCTCGCAAAAAACTGTTTTTAACATTGTAAAACACAATCATACCGGCTAAGATTCGATTAATTTGTAACTTTATTTACATTAAACATTCATAACATTGCAATACTTCGGGGTGTACAATCCAATGATTTAACTCGCACAAATCTCTACATTCTATCCACACATGATGGCCATAATAGTTCAATACCTTCTCTTCCAAATTTTTATCTAAACCAGAAAACTTTCTATCCAACTTCAAAATAAACCTTCGAATGTTTAGATGCGATAAATCATTCTCATCAACAAATCGACAATGCACACTGGCTTGACCATTGTCTCCCATGATTACACAACTTTCTGTAATGAAATATCCTGTAAGCAACACACCAAATTATAAAGCAAACACCATCAGCATAACAAAGACATATCGCGTAACACAACAAACAAACTAAAAGTTTTCCCGCGCCGATTTACACCACACGCCCATTTACACCACATGGTAAAAGATGACTGCACAAACCATGACGACGAAATACTACGAAATATGTCTCATTTACGAAATTCGATGGGAATGTGAAGAACAAAAATATTTCCACGAAAGCTACAATAAAGACTTCCCGTTGATCAAAAACCTGTCGGACTGGTTGTGCGACTTAGCATCGACCAACATAGATGGTGACGGTGACGGTGTAACAACAGTGGAGCGCGAATTCCATATACTCCACAGAACACCCGGTCATATCTTCGTATTTCTGAGCCTCTTTTCCGAAGATTTGTCAAAGAGGATACAATACCCTTTCAAGGAGCCGGAGAACTGGGAAAACAGGCCGTTGCCACTTGCAAACTGGAAGGAAACATGGATACCTATGTACGACGAACTGATTATAAAAAAACAAGAACTGGAGGCGCAAGGATTGTACTCAAAGACACGTGTAACGACTTATTAACTCTCGCAAAAAAACTGTTTTTAACATTGTAAAACACAATCATACAAGCTAATATTCGATTAATTTGTAACTTTATTTACATTAAACATTAGTTATAAAGAGACAAGAACTGGAGGCGCAAGGATTGTACTCAAAGACACGTGTAAAGACTCGTCAACTCTCGCAAAAAAAACTGTTTTTAACATTGTAAAACACAATCATACAAGCTAAGATTCGATTGATTTGTAACTTTATTTACATTAAACATGGATCGCAGAATGACGGCTGTTCAGGGCTTTTTTATCGATTAGTTAACGAGCCAATAATAAAATAATATAAAGAACACGTGGCCAATATCGATTTAGTGACGTCAACACACCGCCATAACCTCATTATATATGAATTTATTCACAATTTACGCACTACACCGCCCACCCCCGCAATAACCTACCTCATTCTATATTCATTTATTCATGCCCAAGCGGTTGCAACCGACCTCATTATATATTTATTTATTCACGCCCAAGCGGTTGCCTCTACAGCGCCCAGATAACCGACTTCATTATATATTCATTTATTCACGCCCAAGCGGTTGCTATACTACTGCCGTTCTATCCTTCGCGAAAAAAAATCTTAGCTAGCTTCCAATTTTAAACTGACGCGCACACCGACCATATATGGAGAGCATGGTATAATCGCTCATATACCATAACGGCTAAACCAATCAAAATGCTAGAATTGCATTATTCAATGATTGAGTTTTTAATAAATATTATTATTATTATTATGATTACTGAAATACTCGAGGGAATCCGAAAGATAGTCAAGAAATTGGTCTGCATTATTATGTTGTCGGTAAACAATGCCACAGATATTTTTCTTGTGATTTGGAGTAAAATTTCAATCCACAGTGCTTGATAAGAGCAATTAGTAGAACGTTCTAAGACTCGATATTTATAGTTTTCATTAATAAGAAGACCAACACCACCGGCAGACAACGGGGTTTTAACAAATTCAAAGCAATAGCCAGGTAGTTGTGGTATAAAATCAATAGATCCGCTTTCGCATAATCGCGTTTCTGTTACACCTAATACCGTGAAATTATGTTTTACCTAACTGAGTACTGACATTGAAAATGTTCAATATTTTTTCTTAGAGAAATCGGGTACGACATCCCTATTTGTGGTATTTTCAAACTTCACAGAAAGCTATGAGGCGAATAGTAGCTCGAACGAATTTTACTCGTTGTCATTAAGTTAGCATCAGGGTCAATGGTTTTATCTACGGAATCGTTCTGAAAAAGACCAAGATCATACAAGCTATATATTAAATAAATTGATCGATTTCCTGGAGGCTAGATTAGTGTCCAGTAAAGCGTTATTCTGTGGGTGGGCATTTTTCAGATCTTTACAGTTATAATATGGCAGCTCCATCAACAGCAATTTGTTTTCTTTAGCGAGATTTTTCTTCTCTTTGTGCGAAGCCATTTCCAATAACTGTATCACATCATTAAGATTATGAACGAATAACACTTAAGACACTTATCTCCTTTATCCTGAGTTGGATTACTGACCAAGCTTTGCCTCAGATTGTCAAGATCGACCATACATTTTAGTTTGAAGACCTGAGAGCTACTAGATTTACGAGCCAAAATCTCAGAGATCTTCACCCAGACGTACTGGAATTGATGTTTGTTTGCCTCGCTAAGAAGTTGCTGTAATCTCAGGATCAGGTGTTCATGAATTCGGATATTTTCCGTGTGAAAATCAGCAGATAAATCCAGATCATCAGGGTTTAAGTTCGACGTTTCATTGCGATGAGCCATGACTTCTTCTTTGGCCAGTCGTCTTATAAACTTGCACACAATAGGTCTTGGATAATGGCTGTCAGACCTTCGGCTATTCACTCTATGAGCGATCTCAATGTCGTTTTTTGTCACTCCCTCGGCCCTGATAGCATGGAAAAGTTTTAAACACAACTGCGTGGTAGTTTCAGCAGACTCATGCTCATCCTGTTCAGGAAAGCCAATAATTTTAATTTTTAATTTTATACTGAAAGCTGTACTCCAGTAAGTCATCAATGGCGACGTCCAAACTGTCAACTCTTGTAGAAATCGCTTCAAGCTTACGGCTTAGATTGTCAAGTTCTTTCGATATATTCTCTCGAACGTTTTTCGTTATATGATGGTCCTCACATAAGAAATCAACGCTCTTTTGGATATTGTTTCCGTATCTTGTTGCAGCGTCTCCAACCTGCTCGATGTCCGCTTGAAGTCGTTGTTGTTCGATGATCGATTTCAGCTTCGGGAGTTCACTATTTACTGCTGAAATCTCTCCCTTTAGTTTAAGGTTTTTCTTCTGTAGATTTCTACTTGACATTTTAGTTTACGATATAAAGCATTGGTAGGTTTTGAGTTTTAAACTGGCGTGTGAGGAGCGCCCGCCGACATGACCGGTCAAGAGTGACCAAAGTAAGAGATTGAGATTCCTCCGCATTTTATTCATGAGATGAAGAGAGAAGGCTATGACGTCATCGGCGTTAATGTATTTCTCCGCAAGTTAATGAGATCCCCCGGTACATTCGTTGCCAACAATAGTACTTACATATGTAATACAGTCAAACCTCCATATGCGCCGACCTCCTGTAAGCGCCCAAGTATCAAAAACACCAAAACTTTCCCAGTCTAAGCCTTACAATTGGAATCTTTCGTAAACGGCCACCTCCTGTAAGCGACCGCGACCACTCTCTTGGGCTAGCGGTTTAATGGTTTTTCATCGTTTTTATTATACATTGTTTTGAAGAAAATAAGGCCAAACAGCTAACAAATAGATTCCATGCTGCCGTCATCTACGTATTAAGAACCGTCACTCCCACCAAGGAACGCTATTCCAACATCGAGGGAGAATTGATAGGAATGGCCGTTCGCCATGGGGAGGCTTCACAACTATGTGATTGGCGAACAAGTCAGAGATCAAACAGAACACTAACCTCTGGAGATGAGTTGGAAGAAGAGTTTTGCCACTGCCAGTCTGAGACGTCAATGCCTTCTTCTGAGGCTTTCCAGATACGAACTTGAAGTGGAGAACAACTGTAGGAAGGACACACGCTCTAAGTTGAGTCAACCCTCTCAGTCCAAATCCTATGGACTCAAAGCAGATGGATGTGATTCACCTCACTCCAACCGTCCCAGCAACAGACAGCCGACTTAAACAGAAACAGAGTGGCCACCTCTGCTGATTCAGCTCTCAGCCAGTTACGACATTAAATCTTTCACGGTTGGCCACTTCAGAAGCAGCAACTCCAAGGACGAGTGTAATATTACGTACTGTAAATACCGGGAGGAGCTTTCTGTTGAAGATGGTCTGTCCATCGACTTGTGATTCCAACCTCATTGAGAGGAGAGTATCTAAAAGATCTTCAAACGGGCTACTTAGCAAGGGAAAAAAAACTCTGTTGAAAGCACAGGAAACACTCGTTTGATCCGGGATCTCGGATTATGTAAGAAATGCAATTAAGTTATGTGACGTATGCCAGAAATACAAGCCTACTCAACAAAAGGAACCACTAATACCGCATGATAATACTTTAGCCAAAGCTATCCTTAATCGAAAGATTTCATTGAGGCCATGGTCAAAGTCGTAAAGGGCATCGTGGAGGCAGAAGAGTCCGGTTCCGATCTTGCAATATTGATCTACCTCGAAAGCCCAATCCGACCAGATCAACTTCTACTTCCTATCCATCAAAATCTGCATGCCAATCTGGAGTTAAGCAAGAAACTTCAAGTTCTACAGCAATTTCAGAGTGTCCGGCTCCAGTTAGATCCCAAGAAACCAATCCAGCAGAAAGCCACAGATATATTCATCCAACCACACGAATAGGCCTTTTGCACCTTGTCACTCACGTGGTACAAAACCGCCATGCTGGAGAGCAAGTGACGCACTGGGAGAAGACAAACAAAGAAAATTACCATTTTAAATGATGTGTGCTCTTTGTTTGTCTTATCCCATTGCGTCTATTGTTCTCCAGCGTGGCGGATTTGTACCACGTGAATTTCAAACTGCAAAGAGCCTATATATTGCTTTGCGACTACCGTAACCGGGGCCACTTAGACAAAGTTGACGAATCAGGTTACAGGAAAATAAAAATACATTCCAAGAAGATTGGTTGTGGGCCAATCAGCAGCGTACAAAAACAATAAGTTACTAGAAGCACGATATTTTAAATATTGATACCACGTTTTTGAAGGAAACCAAATGTTCCACCAGACAATGTTTTTCTATTCGTAACTTAAAAATTCATTCATGCTTTGAGTGCGTATATCACGTTATGGATATACGCCTGAAGTTTGGAGAGCACGAGGGAAGCGTAAGAATTGCTCAAGGCCTAGCCGAGAGCAACTCTAACTTCTTGAATGCTCTCCTAACTTCCCGAGTGCTCCATAACTCCATATACTCACAGTTAAAGGCATGAACCAATTCTTTTCTAACATAGCTGAGAAAAAGTTTGCTTTTTTGTTTAAATGCAAATTCTCACGCAACGCGCTGCAAAAAAAAACAAACAAACAAACGCTTATATTAGTTGGTTACAAACACGCCACAATCGATCGTCTAGTTTGAATTAACATTCGTTTTCTAAAAATGCGAGTGAAAATTTGCTTATTTATTCGTTAACGAATCTGAGCAGAAACAAAGGTAAAAGCAGGGGAAGGATTAAACGATACCAATGTAACACGCTCTTGTGAACTCAATAAAGGTTAAGACTTTCAAAGACTGCCTGGGAAAGTGACTACTTTTTTCTACTCCAAGTTAAGTTCTAAGTTTTCTAAGTTTTCGACTCTATTGTTTTACCATTACATGAGTCTTACAGTCCACATTAATTTAAAATACTCAAATGTTCGTCAGAAGGAGTGGAGTATAAATTTTTGTCTTTTTTAAAAAAAACTTGTTTTGTTATTGCAAAAGATATTTCCCCGCTTTGGATTACTCGGTTATCAAAAAGTGCACACTTTTTCGCCATTACTTTATAATTAACTTGTTTTCAAAAGGATGACAAAAACTTTTAAAACTGTGGACACTTTATAATTGGATATTCCTCCTCATCTCCGGTGAACTACAATTTATTACTCACAGCTGACGTAAAACAAGGAGAACAAAACATCCTTAACAATGAACCTAACCCTGAAAATAGTCTGTAAAACAAAAACGAATAGATTACAATTACTACACCGGGGATGACCCGAGTTTTCAATGACTTAGGCTCTAATTTGCGAAACGTCTCCACCACTTTCGCTGTTGGTTTGAGTGGCGGCTAGAAGATCAATTCCAAAAATACTAGAAAGTTCTTCGTTGAGAAAAAGAGAACAAAATCCTAGTTTTATAGACACCTCTGTAAACCCCATCTTATTTAAGCACAGGCGTGCGTGAATTTTTTTTTTCACAGCGACTTAATGCGACTTATATAGGGCAAGCAGGCGCTACGTTACAATAGCCCACTTTCGATATATTATAATTTTAACATGACTCCGAGGCTTTCTGGTCATGTTTCTATTTTTGGTTGGGTTTTCTTTGTTCTCAAGTCTCTTTTAAGATTTGCGAGAAAATGAAATCTTGAAAAAAGTGCACTCTTCACCCTCAAGCCTCGGATGTCATGTTAGAATTTTAATATATCGAACGTGCCCATCCATTTACATATATTACCCAGGAGACATATTCATTTGACACGAGCTGTTATTTTGTCATCTACCAGCAATTTCTTCGCTACCATTTGCAAAAAAAGTCCAAAATTTAACTTACGTTTACGTTTTTTTGCCTGTGTTATTAACTCTAACAGACCTCTCAGGAACCATGTTGTTTATTTTGATTATCATTGACAACTAATATTTCCGGAATGTATTGTTATTTTCCTGTAATCCAAATGGTTAACTTTGTCTAGGTGGCTCCTGTTATAATAGTCCCACCGTAAACCACGGTCCAGTCATTCCCATAACCACTAAGACCTGGACTAGTCAAAAATCCCCAGCTCAACAGCAGATAATGTCACCGACCAGCCATCACTAAAGCTATTGCCAAAACAGTGTGTATCACAATAGTCTCTGGTCGGCATTGCGTTGTCACGGCCATGAAGAGCTGGTAGACCACCTACGCAACTGATTAAACAAATTTAGAGAAACTATGACAGTTAAGTAAAATGGACTGTAGTGTGTTGTATAAGTAATTGTATTTGTAATAACTTTTCATGAAGAGAATATCAATGGTTTATGTGTGTGTGCGGGACAAGTTCTCGGATCATGGACACTTTAAAAGCGTTTCAACTGTTGCGCATAGAAGAGTGAAAAAAAGGTGTTCCAGCTTTAGAATACACAGGTGCAAGAATTGTGTGCTTAGTGCAGTGTAACTTTGTATTTCTTCATGCTGGAAACGGAAAACACACGAGGAGATAGAACCTTAAGAGGCAGTCTCCCTAAAAGCGTTCCACTCGATTTTGGACTCGAAAAAACTTTTGCCTCATAATTTTACCATCAACACTACTATCCATCCTGATAACGAAACTGCAGTTAGAATGAGGAAATTGTTTATTTTACTGCCATTCCCAGCATTTCATTGCTGGACGACCGTTAGCGGCTAAAATATGCAAATTTTAGTCTCTGTTATACAGGTTTTTTAACGATCGTTCTAAAGTTCTTCGGGTCATCAAATCCTAGACTATTGCACTCATTTGGAAGCATATTCCTTCTTCTTACTGTTCCAATACCGTTTAGGCGTTATCTTTCTGTAATCAGCAAAAACTGGTCGTCTTTATTTCGCTAATCCAACTAAGAAAGCAAACTGCACGAGAAAATGCCTCAAAAACATCTCAAAATTCTCAAAAGTGGCACCTAAACTAGACCTAAAAACATGTTTTAGTTAAAGATTAATAGCTATTTTGTCAAGTTATGCAATAAAACGTGTGGCACAACGCGATTCAGAAGTGAAGGTTTCAACTCAAATTTAGGCAAATGTTCAATTTGCGTTGCGTGACGATACCGGCTGCTGTCACAACAAAATCCTCAGTTATTCAAATACTTGCCACTTTTAAGTAAGATATGCCTCATTTTCCCACCAAAACTATATTAAAATTCCCTTTTTCCCTTTGCCAGCGATACATATTGTTCAAAAATTAGTTCAGCAAGTAAAAGATACCTTTCCAAGCTTCATTTAATATTCCCACTGCCCCGAACATTCGTGTTAAGTCTGATGTGTCAAGACGGAAAAATACCTTTTCAGAACCAAACCTCTTCTAGCTTAAAATGTGGTCCAGTCTGAAAAAGCTGCATTGACCAGAAGTTACTCCGATCCATCATATTATAAAATCGAACGTTAGAAGAAAAGTAAATTTCCCACTGCTTAATTAAATATGCGTGAACAGGTCAGAAAATGTTTGACTTGTACTTCGCCCCACGTAAGGGTATCCGGATTCCGGAAACTGGAAAATTTTTGCTTGTAGGATCCGGAATCCGGGAAATTTTGATATGAAATCCGGAATCCAGGGAGTTGGAATCCAGAATAGAGCTCAAGCACCCTACTAAGGAATGAAAATCCACCGGAAAAGACTGGAATCCAGCACCCGGCATCCTGAATCCATGGAATGGGATCCAGAATCCAGGACTGTCTTGTATTCGCTAACATGGGGTGATAGTACTGGACTGTGAACGGCGACTTACAATTTTCCCTTTATTTGCCTTCCACTGATCAGGAGCCCATATTTGAAGACTTTGTTAATGAAATTTCAATTAGTAGGTTTCTTCCATTTCCTGACTGTTTCTTCCTATTGACAGTGGTCAGCGTTTGTTTTCACGCTCCAAGAGACAGTCTGGAGTCTAAGGCTACTTTTGTATCGCAGCCAGTTAATAAAGAAGTTGGCACACGCAAATAATAAAGTTTCAACTTTAATTTCGAATCGTGCAACATCAGTGAAAGTAACAAGAAAATAAAGTGCGGAAGTTCACGCGTTTTTCCCAACTGATAAAAGTACACGATTGTCAGGACACCATTACCTCTTACCATGAAACCTGTCATCCATCGAAGTCTGAACTAAGTGAAGCCGACCCATACTCTTAAAAGATGGTAATCATTGACCTTACGAAAAATCAAGTGGAACAGATGGTGATCTGCTTCCCCAGGAGGACTCCCATACAAAAGTGACGTGGGTGCTCTTCGTTTGCAGATTTTGGTCTCACTTCGGTTGTTTGGGACGGAAAGTACCTAAATATGCTCATTCAGGTATCGCTTAAGGCTGTGCATAAAGAAATTGCCAAAAAAAAAAAACGCGGTGACACTGACCTTTCAGAAATCTCCTTTAGGGGTCAGTTTAAGCTTGAGCCACACCCACATTGGCCTCCCTTAGGGGTTTAAATAACAAATTATTAATTTTCCGACGAGCAGCCCTTCACTTTTATATGGAAGTCCTCCCGGGGATTACCCACAAATATCGGCATATAAACTCGGACGATTTTGGCGGACACCTCGTATACAGGACCAAGAAAGGAATATTAGGACCAAGGACAGGCATGTAATTGGTGTGGAGATTGCTAAGATCGTATACCATCTATTTTAAAGGATGGGATCACGTACGTATAAAATCATAAAATCATTGCTAATATCCTTAACACTAGTTCCTTTATCTGTAATAAGATAACGACAAAAGGGCCAATGGGTATTGTCATAATCGTAATTTCAAGTTCAGACAATGATAAACTCAGTAGTCCACTCAATTTTTTTATTTAGAATTATGCGGGAAGTGAAGATCCAAACATAATGAAGTTATGGAGAAAAGTAGGAAGTGGCTTTAAGTCAAAAATCCTGATATTAATCAGTGTTGCAGTAGGGCATAAAGTTACACAGTCAGCTGATGCACTTGCAAATTTGATATCATTTATTTATGAGCTGACGGATTTGAATATCACAAGATACACGCGTGAAACAGAAAGTGATAAGCGCATATCTAAACCTAATTTGGAGTCGGAGTTAAATTGCCAAAATCGTGATTACCTACCTTTAGGTATATTACTGAGAGTACTCATGACAATTGTTTGGTACCATGGACTTCACCGACAGAATTTTCTATTGAAGCCCAACGTGGACAAAAATCTCTGAATTCGAACAATCAGTAGAGGTGAGAACTGACGTGAAGTCTGAATCCGGCATTGTCGAAGGTTTCCCCAGCATGAACATTTCTCCAGGTCGAGACCCCTACACTGTTTTTACGTCTTTTCTCGTCTCACGTCTTGTTAGCGGTTATAACCCTGTTCTTACAGACGCTTGCATTCTCCCACGTTAATGATGTAAAAATACATACATCTGAACAACAGCTGAAGGATCTAGGATCACATTTTTAAAAATCGGCCTTTGGACCCTCCGTGTGGATCCAAATTCATATTGATATCGATTTTACTAAATTAAGCGCCACTGCGTTTATCATTTCGTTTTTGCGACTCCAGTGCGGCGCTCATTTGATGCACCAGCCTACCGCGGACAATGTTGTTGAGCCACTCAGAGAGGATCTTATTGCTTTTATATGTCTGCATACCGAGATGCTATGACAAAGAATATAAAGACCGCAAATACTTCACAAATCTTATGAAAAAAATACAAAAACAAAAAACGAGCGAGATTGCATGCGAGTAAACAAAGATCTGGTAGAAATTTCCCTAAAACAGTCAAATATAAACCCCCTAGTCGTTCAAAGCTTAACAACTTGACAGGCTAATGGTTTTATTCGATGGTGGTATAAACAGGTTACAACCGAACACTGTCAGGCTACCCCAGGCTACTCAGTCACTTCACTCACTGTCCATCACAAATTGATAGAGTACAGCACTACCAGCATAGCACTAGCACTTTATATAGACAATCAGATTTGTGATCGAAGGCCGGTAGATTTATACATCTTAGAATTTATACTAATTTCAAATTCCTAAAGGTGTCCGGACACTAACTTAATTCAATGTACATTTCACAGCTGATTTCATTTTTTTAAGGGCAAAAAACAATTTACTTGATAAGAATTTATAAGTACGAGACTTATTGTGGCGTAGACGTAATTAGCGGGTTGTTGATTTTACTTCTTTGAACTCCAGTCCACATTTTCTTAATTTTTCTTTAAGGACTACCGTGTACCATCGTCCCATATATATAGTGTAAAGGTGAATGTGTGAAGGACCTTCTCGCTGCAAAATGTAAATACTTCCACCTGTCACTAGACAGGAGAAGCATTGTTCTCGTTGATGTTACCTGTAAAACAAAAATGTTCGTTAGAACGCAATTGAAGTATGTCGAATAGCCTCTTCCAGACGTTCAGACTGTGGGGGCGACCCTCCGAGGGATGCCAGTAAGAAAAGGGCGAAGGGGTGGGGTAGGGAGAAATGCGTATTTTTCCTGACCCACTCTACTAATAAGAAGGCCAACTACTGGGAGTCGAACAAAGGACGGCCGGCCGAGACTAATAATACGAAGGTCAGTGGAAAAGTAAACTTAAACTTTTATAAGCTTAACCTATTTACGATTTTTCTTGTTGATAAAGTGAAAAAAAAAAAAAAAAAAAAACAGAAAAATTGTCATTTGTAGGATCACGAAGAATTTTTTTACTGTCACTGCGGCCCGTGTCACGCAATGCGAATTCAGCATCAATATGCAAATTTAAGTCGAATCCTTCAATTCTGAATCGCGTTGTGCCACAAGTTTTATTGCATAACTTGACAAGATAGCTATTTATCTTAAACTAAAACATGTTTTTAGTTCTAGTTTAGGTGCCACTTTTGAGAATTTTGAGATGTTTTTGAGGCATTTATTCGTGCATCTTGCTTTCTTAATTGGGTTAGTGAAATAAAGACGACCAGTTTTTGCTGATTACAGAAAGATAATGCCTAAATGGTATTGGAACAGTAAGAAGAAGTAATATGCTTCCAAATGAGTGCAATAGTCTAGGACGGCATCTAAAATTTGCATATTTTAGCTGCTAACGGTCGTCCAGCAATGAAATGCTGGGAATGGCAGTAAAATAAACAATTTCCTCGTTCTAACTGCAGTTTCGTTATTAGGATGGATAGTAGTGTTGATGATAAAAATATGAAGCAAAAGTTTTTGCGAGTCCAAAATCGAGTGGAACGCTTTTAGGGAGACTGCCTCTTAATAAGGATAATAGTAGTCAAAATGATAATAATAATAACAATAATAATAATGACAATGATAATGATAAGGCGTAAATAAAGGACATTAGACAAAAACAGTATAAATTAAGAATTTTTTAATTGCCATTTAATTGTCTGTCATCCTTGTATAGCTATAATGTTTTGGACGGATACGGCGTGTTTTTTTGTCATGTTGGATACTATATATATTCTAAATGATAAACGTCTGTTTGCAGAGTGCACAGAAATACAACACACATATCTTTTGTGTATTAAGCCTCTACAGAAGACGTTACCACTAAATCAGGGCGGCATCGTATGCATTTAAAAGGCTGGCCCCGGTTGTTCAAACGTCGGATAGTGCTATCCACCGGATAAATCTCTATCCAGTGGATAGCGCAATTGGTTTCCATAATACTTATCCGCTGGATAGTGATTTATCCGGTGGATAGCGCTATCCAACGTTTGAACAACCCGGGCCTGGTGTACATATCCATCAATTTAGCACATTGCTGTCAAAATTTTCAAACAATTTGATAACATTCTTACGTATTATTAATTTTAGTTCTTATGTGCGTATAAAGTCTATTGCCTCTATAAGCTGTAATTCATAGCTATTTTTTAAGTATCTTTGTCCTGATTGTTAAAGGTTTTTGTTCATTTAAAATAGAGTCTCCTCAAGCTGTTGTGTCTCCTCCAAATCAAACTATTCCTGAAGGAAAACCAGCGAACATTAGCTGTAAAGCTACCGGTTTTCCAAAGCCGACATTAAGGTGGACCTTTAGTGAGCATGGAGATCTTCCTCAAGGTGCAGTTGTGGAATACAACGAAAGCAGATCATTCCTTAAGTTGAAAAATGTTTCAAAACTCATGGCAGGAACATACAAGTGTACAGCCAAAAACAAAGCCAATTCGACAACTGCGACTGCAACTCTTCGTGTATGGGGTATGCCTTGTTTTACACGGATTAAATTGATCTATATATTGATATATATTTTTTCATTTTTGTGGAAAATGCAGAACGAGGAAAGACTAATAAAATTGTGGCTCATGAATAAAATGCCTGAGAAACTTGTTTAATTTATGCTAAACATGTTCAGGCAAGTACTAATAATAACATCACGACACCATAAGGAGGCGTGTCGATGTCCATTTGAAAATCTAGTAAGCCCATTGTTCTTTGAACATAAAGGCCCCCATAATTCATACGGGTCATTTTAAAAGTAAATTTTCGTAAAAGAAGTTAGGAGTTCCTTAGGATTTCATAGACAACGTACATTATTTTCTTTTACAATGGCTGTTACCAATCATTGCGATATTAAAGCACGTTTTATTTCCTGCCGCTTTCATCGTCTACCAGTTGTTAACTTTCCGGATAACTGATTCTTGGCGCCAAATTATGTATAGTGACGTGTGTACAACACAACCAATTCTACATAAACTGGAAAAAAACCTTTTTATTTCAACCTTCATTACATTACAACTCCAATAAAAAAAATCAATCATCCTCTTCTTCGCCCATGGAGCACTTATAAGGTTTGATTCGAAATTTCTTATGCCGTGTCCGTTTCTTGTGTTTGTCATGAGTACCATTAACGAGTCATCCAAATATGGTTTAAAAAGAGTAAACTGCAAAAAGATTTGAGGCTTGTAACAAATACGCGTTCAAAGTACACTTGTGCCAAACATATTCACTTAATCAGACTGCTTCATTCAAAGAAAGGACTTGCTATCGATGAGCTCAAATTCTTGCTCAATCGACTGTTTGTGACGCAATCCATTCCCAACGATGAAGACTAACCTGCTCTTAAATGTTATACTGTTTTTTGTTCTCATTAAAAGCTGTATTTCTGCAACATATGTAGTGTCTCGTCCTGAATTCAATGGTACTGAGCTATTGATTAAAGTCTTTTCACGCCTCCTTATGGTGTCGTGACGTCATTACTAGTACTTGCTTGACAATGTTTAGCGTAAATTAAACAAGTTTCCCGCGAATTTTATTTATGAGCCACAATTTTACTCGTCTTTCCCCGTCCTCAAACCGGACCAAAACCCCCATGCACCACTACTAGTCACACATATTGATGGCATTTCTTCTCTTGCATTATAATCATTTCTTTTCCCAAAATGCTAGAGCTGTGATCCTTTCCACAGTTCGTAGATAATTCTGTAAACTTTGAAATATATATTTCGACTGAATATTTTAAGTAAATTTTGATAGACATGTGCTGTAGCCTTTGCAGGCTTTTGTTGAAACAATTGCAAGCTCTTCTTTTTATGAATGTAGTTGCTTTAATTAAGCTGTTTTATGTATCATTGTCTGCAAAAACGTTAAAGTAATTTTACAAGTCAAGTAAACTAAACAATATGCACGTTTTCCGTACAATTTCCTTAGTTGGTGTCGATAATTATTCAAAATTTAAAGGGTTTTTCCTTTACTGCTTTACGATTCTCTTCTGATATTAGGAAAACCTACAGCTGCAATAGTCGAAAGTTCATATCCCACAATTCTAGCCGGTGCAGACATTAAGTTAACTTGTAAAGTCAGTGGTTTAAAAGTGGAAGTCAACTGGAAGAAAAACGGCCTCCCAGTACCTAAAAACGAAAAAGTTCGCGTCAGTAGGGTTGGTGACTCAAGTACTCTTGTCATTAGCAACGTTGGGAGTGATGACAGCGGCCACTATTCTTGCGAAGCACGCAATCCAGCGGGCTACAGTTCCTCGACTGTCAAGATCAGAGTTACAGGTAGAGTAATTTGATTTTCTTGAAAAAAAAATAGTTAAAGAAAATATGGGCGCAACAAGGGCACTAAACACTTAAAACTGTATTAAGCAATCATCCTCAGGAATAATAATGACAGGAGATTAAAAACTTAGTGTGAGCTACATACAAAATTTTGAAAGTGAAGAATGAGGGGTGAATGAGGGTTGTTATTAAATATTCCAAAAATTTAACTTAAACATAAATAAGCATGTATCTGACGATATACATGACATTATTTTCAGCAAAAACACTAAAGAGCAGAAGAGTACAAATAGTTGACGTTCGTTCAAGCAACTTGGCTTAGTGAATTATTAGTCATGGCGGTCAGGGCCTTTCTGAACAGGGGAGTCCGAATTAACGGAAAACGAGTTTTGTTGGTCTTGAGTTCGTTGTGAGTCAGTCTGAGGGTTAGAAACAGTATTTCTGGGACTTGGCTGCAATGTAAGATGGCTAGATGAACAAGCTTGTTATGTGAACGGCCGCTACAGTTGCAAACCAGGTCGCATTCACCATCGTATATCCGCTCGATATGGTGCGCTTTGACTTTACGTAATATGTTTCATGAGAGTTTTGAAGAATCGCATGTTACCTAATTAAGTGACAGTTTAACAGCGAAAAAAAAGGAAATAAGGAAATTACCCGATTGGGAAGTCTACAGTGTGATAGTTTTAGATGCTAATAGACGGCTGCTTAATAAAGGGTTGTCTGTAAAGCGTAAAGCGAAGAAGACTTATACAGTTGTCAGGTGTTGAAGATTAAAACCTGTTTCATCAAATACCTGAGTTAACATTTTGCCACTCTTACACGCTAATCCCTTACTTTTTCTACAGCTATTCCGCCGAGCGGGTCGTCACTGCAGTGGTATTATATTGTTGGCCCCATTTCTGCTGTCATATTTTTTGCACTGTTCATCTGGTACATGTGCAAGAGACGACTGAAAGGTGTGACCATAAACTATGTCCTCTAAATAGTCACCATAGCAACAGGCAAAGTTCCCAACAAGAAAAGAGAGGGCCTTTATTTCTACTTATAAAGACGCTACATTTTGCTCATCGTCTTCTTAACCCTGCTCAGAGTGGGGGGAGAGCGTTTGTGGCCTCCCCTCGAGATAGAGTTGAATAACTTCACAACCGTTCAAAATAATGACCGCCAAAATCAGGGAATTTCCTAAAAATTATCTGGGATCATGTTAGAGTCGCGGTAACGAGTACGTCAACATTACGTTACCATGGCAAGCAAAGTTTGACCGTTTTTTTTTTAATATGCATTATTCTTATGAAAATGAAATTAGTAATCGAACTATTATGCTGCACTTAATTCAGCACAAATTTTTATGCGTGCTCTCGTAATTCGCTCGGTCACCCAACTATTCCTAATCGAAATAAAGGACTACTCTTGGTTTAATAGTTTTTGCTGCTAGTTTTCAACTTACTTATAGACTGTCGTTATTACGAGTATCTAATTGTTATTATTTTTGTCAGTTGGCATGGTTTTCGTGGTCTTACAACCCTTTCATTTCCTGGTACCAGGTGACCTGCCGTCGCCATAGCATTGTTATTAGTATTGCTTTGCCCTTTTAAACATATTTAAGAAACCGCTGTATTGACTAGTTATTTTTTTGTCTTCGTTTCTTCTTCATGGGGAACAGCCAAGGCCAAGTAAGTGTCATAAAATCTTTAAATCTTGCATTACATCTTTTTGGGGCGCCATGTAAATACATCGATCCACTGCAAGCAGAGCTTCCTTTTGTCTTCTTTACCGAGGAGAAAAAGAGGCTCTGCCCAATCGCGTCAAGCCTTTGAGGCCGCTGCAGCCCAAACTTCTAGCGTAGTCATCTCTTTTTCTCTTTTTCAAACTATTTTCCGAGTACGAGCATCCGTTTAATGGTAAACCGCGTTTGCTACCGCCGAGCCCGCCGTAGCAAACATACGGCTATTAGGCCTGGGTTTAAATATATTAGTAACCTGCGCGCATGCTCAACAAAGATCTTACTCGATTCAAGCACAGTCTTTCTAGAGTACACCAAAATCGAGCAAGCGAAAGAAGGGTTTTGCTGGCAGGGTGATAGGTTGATGAATAGGATTAAACTAATACTTTCAAAACTGAAGAAAAGCAGCGAAAAGATTATATATCTAAATTGATAGTAAAGTAATTACAAATAATTAAAATCTTTATACAGGAAGTCGCCATCACCCATGGGTGGTTTTCATACGAGACCTGTCACTAAATTAAAACTATACTAAACAATAAAAACACTAAGTACGTAAAATAGCTTAATTTGAAATACCTACATGTGAAAGTTACAAAACATTTGCGGGTAGTAGTATAAACACATGATAGCATGATTTGTACGTGATATTTGGCGTAAATACCACTCGTGATATTTCAAAATTGTCTCAAATTACGTATAACAACTTTGAAATATCACTCGTGGTATTTATGCCAAATATGACTACAGATCATGCTATTACCTATACAAATTATGCTTAAAGATGTAAAACTGGCATGACGCGTTTGGTAATTGTGGACTAAAGACCCACTAGTAAAATGATAAAAAAATTTATCCCAGTTAAGGTTCTTCCTGTCGTATTGTTTTAGTTTGTTTGCTTTCTTGTTTTTTCCTTTGTTTTTTCCCCGTGATGTTTAGTTGTATATTTCTTTTCTTTTTTGCTTCCAACGCTTCCGTGTTGAAGTCGTCTTGCATAATTATACACAATCCCAGTTCTCTTAGTAACAGCTTTTTGCCACCTTTTCACCTTTGCAGTCTTGCTGATGAACATCCGGGACTTGAACTGGAGGAGTTGGTTCACGAGGTGGATGAATGGGAGGTTGCACGTGACCGTATAAAGCTAGAAAATATGATTGGTTCTGGGGCATTTGGAGCAGTCTGGAAAGCAACTTTGAAACAATCAGACAAAAAGCATGGAGCACAGACTGTGGCAGCAAAACACTTCACACGTGAGTCAGTTCAACATATTACACTAGACAGCTTTATCTTTGATGTGAGCACGACTGTGCCTTAGATAATCGCTATTGTGGAAAGCCCCTAGTGTCATGTGGCGCGTTTAAGAACCAAAGCTGACTTAATTTGCTCTCATCACTTCTGTTGTAGCGACTGCTGGAGAAGAAGGAAGAAAAGCTCTTATGAAGGAGATTGAGTTAGGAAAAAGTCTGGCAGAAAATCCACATATTAACGTTGTCAAATTCATCGGCTGCGTTACGACACAAAGTAAAAATCCTCATTCATTACCCTTTTCAACACGATATTTCGTCTTCTTTTGCTCTTTCTTTTTCGTATAACATTTTATAGCGACATTGGAATGTTCACTGAGTTGGATTGTCTCTTTACAGTTCACCCAATAATGATCATGGAGTACATGCCATATGGAGACTTGTTGGGTTATTTGAGAAAGAGCCGAGGAATTCACGACCAATATCATCATGGAGAGGGTGAGGGTTTTGAGCTGCAGCCATATGACCTGGTCGTATTTGCGAAGCACATTGCTACTGGAATGGTGTATCTTGGATGCAGGGGGGTATGTGAACAGTTATGAAATGTAGAATTTGCTGTTACTTACTCCTTGCCTCATTACTCCGCTACACATTTAGTTGTCCACACCAACTCAAGAGAAATTTCATTTTAGAAAACGTCAGAGCGGCTTTTTTTTTGAGCGGTTTCAATCCCTCACTGTACCTGGGCGAGAAGGGATGTATTAGATATTACAATCTGGTCAGGACTTAAGACCACTTGTAAGAAACCAGTAACGTTATAATATAACGCTGTAATGTTAATCCTCTTCAAAAAATTTGAATTACATAGCCACATACTTTTCTGGGTGCGGTAAGCAAACGATTGGCCTAGCAATTTGCTTGTTCCATAGCTATAGTGTCGTTGGTTGCGAAAGCACCGCTTCCATAATGTGGGTTCGTAAAGCGATCGATATCGGATGTAAGTGTCATTATATACAACACTTGCTGTCTGAGCGAAGAAAATAACGACAAACACAAAGAGCCATGTTTCTGACCGTGCAAAATCATGATTTCCGTGCGAAAGCTACAGTTTAGTCAGATATTTGCTGGTAGATAGCAAACTAATCTGTAGGTTGCGCTGATTTTTAAAATTAACTGTAGGCTCTTCATCCGTCTGTCTCGGGAGACAATGGGATCGGCGCCAAGGTTTAGTCAGTGGTTGAGCTGCAGCGCCTGCTGTGCTGTACAGTCCGATTCTTGATCGGCAGGCTCTGTTGCCGTTGTTGCAGATGAACTCCGTGCTTGGTTCTGTGGGTACTGATGCTGCCCTCAGCTGTCCGCCCTCTTTTCTCTCATTCCACTGCTCTTTTCGCCTCTCATCACACGCCTGCCTTTGCAAGAAGCCTCCAGTGATTTCGGTCTACAGCTATAGCTCCGAATGTGCTCAGATCTCGTTTACAAACAACTTTGAAGCGAAGGTTAGGCCTTCCTGCTGGTCTAGTTCCAATGGTAAGCTCGCTGTACAGTATGTCCTTAGCAATTCTTTCGTCCTTCATGCGGCTTACATGGCGAAGCCAGCGCAGCCATCTCTGAATGAGCAAGGAGAACATGCTAGGTAATACCACCTGTGCTAGGACATCCTTGTTTGGAACACGGTCTTGCCAGGAGATGCCTAAATTCCTTCTGAGGCAGCGCAGGTGGAAGGTGTTGAATCCGCGCTCTTGGCAGGAGTAGAGGGTCCAGGTCTCGTTACTATACAGCAGCGTGCTAAGTACGCAGGCCTGGTACACTTTCATCTTGGGGCTGATGGTCATCATCTCTTTCCGAGACGTGCTAGTACTGCTGCTGCTTTTTCAACTCGTTTGTTCAGCTTGGTGTCTCGGGAGAGGTTGCTGGAGCCTACGTAAGTGAACTCCTCCACCGCCTCGAGAGTTTAGTCGCCGGTGGAGATGGTTGGGGTGCTGCTGACTTCTTGGCCAAGGATGTTGGTCTTCTTGAGACTGATGGTGATACCAAACTTGCTACAAGCGTGTGCAAAGAAGCTGATGAGTCACCGTGTGCGGTTAAAGCAGCATCTCTCTTATCAGTACTTTGCTAACCTTAGTCTTTGCTCGGAAACGTGTAAGGTTTCCGTCGCTTCTGGTGTTAAGGTACACACCATTTATTTGACTGGCTGAAGGGGTAAGACAGCAGTAGGAAGAAAAACATGCCGAAGGGAGTGGGAGCGAGTACACAGCCCTGTTTCACTCCGCTCTTGATAGGGAAGGGGTCTGAGGTTGAGCCGACGTACTGGACGGTTCCTCGCATGTCTTCAAGGAGAGACGTGATCATCCTTGGGAGCTTGGTGGGGGCAACCCATCGTCTGCAGGAGAGTAAATAGACCCTTCCTGATGACTAGGTTGAAGGCCTTGGTCAGGTCGATAAAGGCAATATATCTTGGACAGTGATAAGACAGATGAGTACAATATATAATACAGTCTAACCTCCATATGCGACCACCTGTCATAAGCGACCACCTACCATAAGCAACCGCCTATCCATAACACCGTCAACGCCTTACAGTTCGAACCTCTCGTAAACGACGACTTCTTGTAAGTGACCACTTGACGCATGGTCTGATCTGTATCTTCACTGTACGTTCCTTGTTGCCTATAGTATAAAAAGAGCTATTAGAAACAACATAGAAATACATTGTAAATATTTTGCGAATAGAAGTTGCATGCAATGAATTATTTTCATAAAGTTGAGGTGTCCAGAACTCTTTTTGGAAGAGACCCCATGTGGTTCGATTCTTGTAAACGACTTTTCCCATAAGCGACCACTAAGTCCTCGCCTTTTGGCTGGTCGCTTACTAGAGATTAAGATATAATAGAAAAGTATTGGTTCCTTTGTGAAGGGACGTTACAAGGTTAAAATGTTATTGCAGACTGTCGGTTTCCATATTACCAGATATATTCCAAAAAAAGTCCTCAGTACTCGCACCTTTATTGAAAAGAAGTGATCAATTTTTTTTCTAACTGTTAGTTACGACCATGTAACATGCCTTTATTTTCAGATAATTCACCGTGATTTGGCAGCAAGGAACGTCCTTCTAGATCAAAACTTTGTCTGCAAGGTTACCGATTTTGGGTTATCATATCAAAGCTTCAAGTATGGCCACGGTAATGCAAAAAAGGTACGCAGATGTAACCTATCAAACTATAGCTCTTTGTTAAACGCTAAATTAATCATTCTGATGGATTTATTGACAACGTTGACAGGAACAATGGCGCTCTCCATAGTATAATCCGAATTCAGTTAAAAGGGAGATTTTCAGAGTTTTGTATTTTAGTAGACTAAGAAGAACCCCCTTTTTTAAGTCCCTCGAGCAAAACACGCGCCAGTAATGTTGAAGAAAAGATTACGAGTCTCTTTCCAGTCCAACTGTTAGTAGTCTCAATGGCAAGGAAACCACCATTGGAGCAAAGCTAGAATTGGCTACTCCAAGTAAATTTTTTCATGACTGTATTAGGCTATATAAACCGCTACAATAAAATCGATACAAACTTGAAACGCTTCAAGTTCTCTTTTTGTCCCCCCTATGAAACTGGCACGGACAGATCGTGTTTCATAATTTCTTTAATAATTCTCTTGATTTCAACACGGTTATATTCTGTACTTTTCTTTTACAACTTAAGTCGTGGTAGAAAAGAAACAAAAGAAAAATGGCTACCCCGCACGCTTTTTTTTGTTGCAAATATTTCCGATGATTTTCAACTGTGGTTGACAGATCCGTTATTGATGATTTTTAATGTTAGAGAAAAGGAAATTCCCTTTCATCAACCTTTAACGCTATATTTACACTGTTTCCCTTATTATTGTTTATCTATGGTGCGTTCACAAAAATTAATTTTAATGATTTTCCATTAATAACAATAACGTATGTTATTAACATCTACGTAGTAGAAAGGACTTTTGTCATCAGCAAACTGGTGAGAAAAAATAAATGTAACAAGAAAACAACTTGCACAATCCAATGTAATAACGTAACTTCAATTTACGATTGTCGTTCGTATCTAAAATTAGAATAGAAAGTACAATTTCAGCCTAGCTAGATAATGCTAGTAGACCTATGTAAAACAACAGCACATGTATATGTTAATGTCTTGTCACATTGTTATCATAGGGCTGCATCCCTGTTAAGTGGACAGCACCTGAGATTCTTTACGGAAATCCTGCAGAACTTTCCACCAAAAGTGACGTGTATGTTGAAATACAAATAAGTTAATCTGAAAACAATTACAGCAAGATGCTTAACAGAATAAAATGATGGCACTGCTAATAATGACGGGGCAGGTGTTGAATGTGAAAAACTCTCTCTTTTCTTACTTACTGCGTCCTTTATAGTTCAAACTGCGACTTTCGAATTAATATGATCATTCTCAAGATCCATTACTGCTGACAAAAATCTGATATGTATTTTTCGTTGAAAGGTAACAGCGTACATTGATAGGATTTTTTCACCCAAAAGGATTTCTTTCGAGCATCAGTAACGCATAAGAAGTGATTAGTGTTTCATAGCTGAACAACTCAGATAATAGTGGTAATTACGGAGCACATTTGAAATATCAAGCAACAAGCTTTCTTTGTGATTATGTTTTCGTTTGGTGGCAGGTGGTCATATGGAATCGTTCTCTACGAGATATTCACCATTGGTAGGTGATATATATTTAAACTTTTTTGTTTAAACACAAAGATTTTCACCTTTTTAACTTTTTGCAGAAAAATGTGTAGAAAATTTACTGTGTAAAGATCGCTCTAGAGAGTATGAAGAAAATTAAAATAGGACTTCCTTTGTCCGTCTCCTATAGTTGATCACTCGCCACAGTAATCTTATTCCTAAAGTTACCTTCTGAGCGGGAACTAATAAGAGTTAAAGGGTAGAATGTGATAGTTTCACTTGCACTCGCAGCTAAAAGTCCCTTACGTGGTCTCTGAGACAGAGAGATAATTCTAAGGGGACAGGTATAATTTAAGTAATTGTGGATCCCAAAAATATTTAAATGCAATACATGAAAATCGTTAGTCTAAAGTGAACTAATACGGTCTAACCTTTCCGTACTGACCTCCGCAATACAGGCGACATCTTTTTAAACCCTGTATTACAGACAGTTGTTGCGATCCCGACATACAAAAAACTCCATACAATCTCTACCATGAGGCTCTTGTATTGCGAGTACGTAGCTCTGTCATCAAGGAAGTATGACTGTTATTGTTTATCAGTCAGGTCATGACTATGAAACGTCCAGAATGAACATTCCAACTGGTGATTAATTTCCTTAATAACTCTGTTTCTGTTTCTAAACGTTCCTTCAATAATCTGTAAGTAAACATGTATTACGTTTCTAATTCAAAAAAGCTGAAAATCGGGTAATATCTTCAAGATTGAACAACGAAATATACATTTTTTTCAATTCACAGGAGGTATTCCATATCCAGGCTGGTCAGAAGCCAAAACAATTGCGGAAATTAAAAATGGGTATCACATGCCAAAGCCCGAACACGTCGACAACACGCTGTACGTTTCACGTCATAAACTTATTTAG